ACTTCTTTATTATTAAAAAATCTGAAAAGAGGCTGTCCAAGCATAGGATAGTGGCTTCATGGTCTCATCATGGGCCAATACGTCTGTCTTTCTCCTCCACTATCCACAGCATGCAGTTTCCTTCCTCAAGGTTGCCTCTTGGTCCAGAATAGCTGCTTGACAAAAATAGCTCCAGCCAAAACAAGATTTTGGATAGCAAGGTAAAATAGTGAGAAAGGACAAAAGCTAAAGTCTGCTTTCTTTAAATAGCATTCCTGGAATTCCAACACCAACCATACTTGTATTAATATCTCATTGCAGAACTGAGTCACATGATCATACCCAGCTACTGGAGAGACTGGAAAATATGGCAATTTGCCAAGAGCTAAAAATTAGATCTCTGTTACTAAGGAAGAAGAAAAGGATAGATATTAAGAGACAGCTAGCACTTTCTGCATATAAGTAATGTACAGCAGTTGTTAAAGTTTGGAAGAAAGAAATTAATCTCAGTTGAATGACAGGAGCAAGTTTCAGGAAGAAGTTGGTGCTTGAGTTGGGATTGGGAAAAGGACTTATTTTAGAGGAGGGAAATTCTAAATTAGAACCTTTATGTTTTATTATTCTTAAAGGGTGGCACTTATTACAGTTATCTGGGAATTTTCTTTATAAATGGAAACTATCTACCTATCCTTAAAATCTAGGATTATGGGTGGTAGTATGGTTTCTGGAGTCAGACTGTCTCGATTTGAATCCTTACTGACAGAATACTAACTCAACCATATATAACCTTCCCTACATATAAAATGGGGCAATGATAGTACCTAAACTGCAGAGTTGTGGCGAGGACTAAATGGAATAATCTATATAAAATGCTTATATGATATGATAGAAATTCCTTCGAGCAAAAATTTAGATCTAAGCTTTTGTCCAGGCTCTGCCATGAATTTTTTTGTACATGACTATGGACATACATAAAATGAAGAAATTTATTATCTCTGACTAAGACATACAAGCTCTAAAATATACTGATTCAACAATTATTCTCTGATTATGAGTGGTCATTCCTTTTGTATGTACATAATAGACTCTGAAAAGGGTATTTATTTCTTAAAACTTTGAATGGAAAGCCTTTATTAGAAGAATTTTTGAAGAGTAAACTCTGAGGGCATTCTTGTTGATTTTCAGGCATCTGGGTATACTAAATAAAATACTGTACATATTTATAGCTAGTTTAATAATGTCCCAGGTCTAATTTAAACACAGTGTTTTTAAGAACTAATTGTTACAGAAAACAGTTGTTGTTTTTTAATGTAGCTAGGCTGGTAATAACTAATGATAGATGAATTCAATTTACATAAATTTCAGACCAAGAGAATATTTTAAAATCATGCCACAGAGGATTGCTTTAAGTTAAGAAGTTAATGTCATTATCTCCTCCTTTCATTTAAATTGTTCCATTTACAATAATTGTGGAGCATAATAAGTGATTTGAGATTTCCCTCTTAATGAGGTTTTAATAAAATTTGATAGTCAAACACCCTGAATAACTAAAATGCTATCAAATGCTATATTATATACATATTTTTTTTCTATGTAAAACTATATATTTCAAGTTCAAACATCTCACATGTTGCTTCTTCATCAAAAGAAGGCTTTTTGGGTTTTTTAAAACAATAGATATTGGCAACTTTTGGAAAAAATTCCATTTGAAAAATTCTCTCTTTAATTTCAAAAGATTCAATTGTGTTGAAAAAAAATTCCTGAAACTAAATTTAGATCACATGATTCGTTAGAACTTTAGCATTTTTGGTTTAGAGGCTGAATTCAATGTTTCCATATCTCCGAGAATTATAGGTCAAAGTTTAAAAGGAAAAGATAGAACTTTTTTTTTTAAAGATTCTTCAGCCTATTTTATTATTTTGGTAACTCTTGATCTTGAAGGGAAGCCCTAGTGAGTGACAAAGGTGATCATGCCAAACTGAGTTTTTAGTAACTATGTTACCCAATGTTAGAGCAATTCATAGCAACAAAATGTAAGAATTTCAGAAACCTTGTCAAAGAGTTACAAATTTAAATTATCTTTGTGAATCCAAAGATCTAGTCTAAAAAAAGATCTATAAGAGTTACTTTTTACTTTCTAAATCTCTTCATTTAAAGTGTCAAGAAATGGGTTTCTGTCACATAATTCTCCTTTAAAATACTCATTACTGGAACTAGCGAAAGCTATTCTGAGATGAACAATTTTCTTTTCATGCCAGATCAGAGGCTAAAAGGAACTCCTTGCCTTGGGCTGAAGAACTATACAGCACATATTTTTCTTCTTTTACCCGATTGCTCTGTCTTCCCTCTTTGCTTTGGCTGCACCTGCCCCTTATTGCCTCACTTTGTAGAAAGATTTGAATAGTTAACTAATGATACTGTAGTTGCTAAAAGAAAAGAAATC